GCAGCTGATGAAATAGCAGGTCAATGTTTGACCGGGACCAGAAAGTGTTTTTCGGTCCCGTGCACATCTCTAACATGTGCACTCATATCTCACAGCCAGATCTTGACTCCACAACTTGGTTATCTTTCTTCTTATTCCAATAGTCGCATTACGGAATGAGCAGTTATCAAGAACATCGTAAGGCAACGTTAGTTGCCAATAGAACACAAATTAATAATAAGTTATCTATTCGGAGAAGTGTTAATTTGCTCGAAAGGAATACGATCGAAGGGTGAAGTCTTGAAATATAAAGCATCGGGAAAAAAAAATTCGAAAAATAAAAATCTTGAAATAGAAAATCCCGACTAGAAAAAACTCGAAATTTAGACAATCGAAGTACAAAATCTCGAAATGTAAAATATCGAATATCGAAAACCTTGAAAGTTCGAAAAATAATCAATAGCACTGAATTACTGCTGAAAATAATCTTTCATTAGAACAGTCCGAATGACCATTACTGATTTATGAGTCATACTTTTCTGTCACTTTCCGCTTTATTTTTCTTTGGTCTAATCAGTCCCTGGTGTATGTGGCATATGTCTCTGAATGTGGTTGTGAGTGTCAATGTCGGTGTGAGTGAGCGTATCGCTGTTGATGTTGGTGGATTTGGGTGTGTGCTCTCAGTTCATTCACACCCGATTACCACACTTGGTACCAGCGTCAACACCCGAACTCTGATCTTTCGAATTTCGAAATGCGAAAATTGATTTGAAAGGATATATTCAAAGTTTATCATTACTTATTGTAAAGGATATGAAAGCCAAAAAATAATTCTCAAATCAATACTGTTTTGTTTTTATGATCCAGTTTCTTTTCATTTTTCTTTTATGTCAATTTTTCTCTCGAGCTAAAGTGGTAAAGCATAGCTTCGTAGTCGATGTTGTACATGTAAACTCTTAGTTCGTAAATTTTTATTATTTTTCAATGACTTAATTATTAATAAATCATACATCCATCAACTATTCAAATCTCATTCATATTTTATAGTTTCAAGATATTTGTTTCTGGATTTGTCACTTTTCGTGATTTTGCACATCCGAAATTCTATTTTTCCGGATATTTGTTTTTCAAGTTTTTACCTTTCGATCTTTTCCTTTATACTAATTAACACTAATTCGCTTATTTACTCCTTCCCACTCTTCGACATTTTTATGCGCTTGATAGTTTTTCTTTCGACATTTTCATCATTCGGACATTTTTTTCTGCCTTTTCATGTCAATATTTCCTTCTCCGAATTTTTATATGATCAACATTTTTTCCTTTCAGTGTTTATTTTTCGACTTGTTTGGTTTCAATGTTTTCCGCTATTCTTACAATCGAGAGTATATCTGTGAGGATTACTGTAAGGTTGGGTCTTCTTTTCATTCACATCTTCACTCACATTTCCTCAAACGACACCTACGTGCTTAGAGTCACCATTTACTAGAAGCGTAACTTTGTTTGATGATGCTGAACTTTCTTTTTTCATTTTATGGCCTTTTTTGCTGATCTCACATATATTTTCTTCGGAGATATAATGAATGCAAGTTTACATTGAAATTTTTACAGCTGCGCTAAGCCCTAGTAAGTACAGGAAAGAGGAAGTCAAAACCTATTTGATATATCCATAGTAAGAGGACGTGGAGGTCAGACCCTATTTGATGCGTTTTCCTAGAATTGATAAAACATGCGTTAGTAACAACAGTGCTTAGATCATTTTGGATCTCTGTAGATTCTAACTAGTCTATATATTGTGGATTTTTTACTTTTAACGCAGCGACACGATCTTATTGAAGGTATCAATCAATGGGGCAGTGGTATTATTGATTTAGAAGAGGTACAAAAAGGATAGACATAAAAAAGAATGAACTAATTGAATTTTAAGTTTAGGCAAAATTCAACAGTACATGCTAATGTTTATCGAGAGACATAATGGCGTATGTGATAACTTACTGAACAATTAAACTCATGTGTACAGCAGGCTAATATGGCCGTTGAATCAACCAACTGAACTGTAAAATCTTAGTTCCTATGTCCTGTTGCATATATCGTATATATATTATCATTAGGAAAATAGAGGTTGTGCATTGAAGATGTATCTGACAATACAAATAAGCATTTTCAATAAAACGATATCAAACGAAACAAATAAATTCGTAAAATAGGAGTTTTAGGTGCAAACATTTTCGAGAGCGAAAAATTTGAGAGCGCATTTGTCAACTATGAAAATTCTTATCATTTTTATTTATTCATTTATTTGGCATTTTTTAACATAAGCTACTTTTACATCTCTCATAATACATCCTAAATTTAAAATAGTCAGAGTTTGGGAGTTCCATACTTTCGCTTTTTATGATGCCTCATTGGAACGCTTTTTAATAAAAAAACACGAATTTCGTTGAAAAAAACTGAAAGTTTTCTAGAAGTGGGAGATTCTTGCCTCCTCCGCCATGGACATATACATGATCTTCGACTTTTTACGGCACGCCTTTTCCTTGATAGGTACATTTAAAACAAACGATGAACAGTTGTTTTATTGCATTAACAAGAAATAATAAAGAGAAGAGAGAAATACAAGAGCAAGTCTACTCATTTTAAAGAGGTTCCAATAGTAGTAGGAACTGTACAAGAAAATGTTCAAGTTTGGAGTAGAGAAGTGGTAATCTATGGGAAATACATTTTCACCAAAATTCACTTCATACAATCGAGATCTTGTTCAAAATAGAAGATGTTTATTAATAGAGATTTCTCTGTGTGTTGATGAGATCATGACATAAAACAAGATTAGAACATGAAGACATTTAGTTCCATTAGACTTGTCATAGTCAGAATAAGAAGAAAATATATCTATATTCAATAAACTGTCAGATACGAGTACAAGTCTATCTATATTCACGAACTTTTACCCCAATAATTTTACATTCTCTATAAAAGATAAATGCATTACTTTTTAATTTCAGAAAAGAAAAACTAACTAAGATCAATTTTAAACAGTGGAAAAATAGGAGCAGATAAAACTATTCGAAGACAAAGCGGAAACATAGTTAAAAAAGTTCTCATTCGAAAAACTGTTTTATTCAGTTTGTCTTAAAATATAATCAGCAATTTTGGTGTCAATTATATCAAGAAGCTACCATTCATCATCAATAAGAAAATCTTCTTTCATTGTATAAAACTGTGCAATATCTAGTTGAAGAAAGAAACAAAGACGAATTGGGAGTATGAGTTTATTGAATGCAAATTTCATTTACAAACTATTAAGAGATCTAGTTTTTGTTTCGTTAATATTTTTTGAGAGTTAATTGATATTGATAAAAGAAGAAAACTTGTTTGTTGAAATTCTAAAAAAACATAAGAAAATAAATACCTTATTAATTTCTAAAGATATTCTGTGACCAAAAATCCAATTGAATAGACGTTTACATTTACTATAAACGTATGAAATGATAATTTATGTCTGATATATATGAAACTATCTTGGCAGAAAACTCGAGACAATAAAAATAAAATAAAATTCAATAGTTTATATTAATCAAGCAACATTATTGAATTAATTTATTATTGAATAGATCAAATTCTTCAAATCCATCGAATTTATTTAGCAAACAGTTTCAAAAGATTCGACATAATCGAAGAAAGTTGAGTCAGCCCATGGTTTTCTATTCAAAGATTTCGACCCATGGACTAGATCCAGCCTATTGGGACCTCTGATTTGTATTCCTTAGAGAATATTCATGTCCATGAAATATATTTAGCCTTCATATTCTTCTATTAATTATTAGAGGTCAGACACTATCTGAGCCGAACCAAATTCGAACTGCTGTAGTAAAACTTGCTTCAGCTCAGTCTTTATTAATTATTCTAACAACAATTTCATAACTGCATTGTCTCAATTACTATATGAGGCAAAAAAAAAATTTGTTTGTATTCTGATTTATAATATTTTTCCGCTGTTTATGTAGGTCGATTTAGTTTTGGTTTTAAAACTAATAACAAATTACTTATTCTATTGATCAAGAGTAAAAAATAAGCATGAAAGTGTCTGTCATGAACACAGTAGAATATTTATTGGAAGTTTGATTCCTTTTGTTTTTCTATAATATAAACAATCATCTCGCTCACATGTTTACTTTTCTTTTTTCTTATGAAAAAGTCGACTAGGTCACTTTTTTTGTCATGCATCATGTTTTCTTTCTTCTCCATATTTTTTTTCTAGTCATAAATTTTTCTGTGTTGTTACTTTCATAAGAACAACCATGCTTTTCCTTAAATTCGTATCTTCATCTTTAAAAATATATATGAAGTAATTCATCAATAGTGGTTTTTTCCCATTATCTTTGATAAAAAACTATTTCTCTCAATTGAGAAACAATTTAAGTCAAACATGATTATTTTTATATAGACAACAATAAATTGAAAATTGTTTCAATCGATCATAGTAGTATGGTCTAGTAGTCGTAATATTAAACTAAATTTAGAAGAGAAATATTCTGAAGATTAATTTTCGTTTTGCCCCTAAAACAAAAAGAAATGGGTGTAGAGAAGTTGTCTTCTATCATTAACATGATGCATTGAATATCATTTTATTATTATCTGATATTTTTTGGTAAATATTCACCATGTTTCTGAAATGAATTTTGTAGAATTGTTTTCACATCTGATGATATTTATATGATAAAAAGCATTGAGTAGAATTATTTGCGCCGATATGATTATTTATGTAATCTTATCTCATAGTTTTCATTGGGGCGTAAGCATAACAAGTTCAAAATAATAAAACGTAAAACGCCTTTCTCATAAAAAATAATCCAATCATGCATACAGAGAAGGGAATATTGCAGTTGACTATTATTGTCCTCTTAGGTGATCGACAGATGAAAAAAAGTACATTATGACTCATCTCTGTCGCACGAAATAGATTGAGGTCACCATTCGAGAAAAAACATAAATTAAGAATCATTCATACTTGTAATCTTATAACGATGCGTCTTCTCGTATTTTTGTTCATCGTTTTTATTTGCAAGAAAGGAAATGGAACCAAATACCAATGTAATACACATGCTTCATGTGGATGTTCAACTTCATTTACTCTTATATCACGTATTGTTGGTGGCGAAACTGCAGTTCGACAATCTTGGTCATGGGCTATTTCTCTTCGTTCTAATGGAGAACACATTTGTGGAGGATCAATTCTTTCGCCATCGTTCATTATTACTGCTGCTCATTGTTTTGAATACACAACTAATTTAAAAAGTATCACTATTCTTGTTGGATCTCTAACTTTAAACCCTTCATCACATGATTTACCTCAAGTTCGTTCTGTTGCTCAACTCTACAAACATCCTAATTTTGGCTCTAATTCATTCATAAATGACTTGGCTCTTCTTCGCTTATCTACTCCGTTAAATATGAGACATGGAAATATCAAACCAATCTGTTTACCATCTGATACTGTTTCTCAACCATCAGACAATATTAGTATGATTGCTATAGGTTGGGGTACAACATCAGCAACGGGAAATATACTTTCTTCAACTCTTCTTCAAGTCACACTACAATCCATATCAAGTAGATACAGTGGATGTAAAGACCTGATTTATGATAGTAAATTACAATTTTGTGCTGGAATAATAACTGGTGGTAAAGGTAATAATTCAATATTAACTTTTTTCACTTACTGAATAAATTTTCTTCTATCTACAGATACTTGTCAAGGTGATAGTGGTGGACCATTAATGGCATTTGTTAATAATGTTTGGCAACTTTATGGCATCACATCCTATGGATATGGATGTGCATTACCTGGATCGCCAGGAGTCTACACTCGAGTTAGTTACTACGTAAAATGGATCAGATCAATCATGTTACCAGACAAAATTAAGTCAAATAAAGCTGGCAGAGGCAAAAATCCAATAACAGACAGGGTTACCCCAAGCAAGAAACGAATAACAACTAAGATCACCACAAGGAAAGTACCAATAAAGAACTAGGACTTGCATGAGCAAACAAGAAATAACAATTAAAGGGACAGAACTAGTGTTTCAAACATCAGATAATGATAAACATTGAACAGAATTCAATCGTTGATTTTTATAGTTTTTCTGCCAATCATAACCAGTGTATATTCGTTTATTTTGTCAGTTCTTCGCTAATCCTTTTATCATGTTACCATTTACTGTACAATACAACATCATAATCTAGCATAAATACAATATTATATTATATTTTTTCTAACTGTAATTTAGAATTTTATATCTGTGTCACAATAAAAGCAATGAGACGCAACTCCCAGCTGAACACATGAATATATAGAATATTGACATTCTCCATAAAAAAAATGCTTACCTAAGAGATGGTAAATATATATAATGAAATGACTCGCATCCGATATTTCGTCAATAACAAATACCAAAAAATAAATCAATGATTTCAACTTTTCACCTAAACCTTTTTTTAACAAGGAGGAGAAGTGCATTTCTCTATTATACAGAGTATGAGAGTTACTAAACACATATAGCATAGCTAAATTTCAAATTTTATCATTTGAATCATCAAAAACGTGTGATGAAAAAAAAACTATATCATCGTCAAGTAACATATTCGATTTGTGGTGAATCTTCTTCAAAAAATCACTTGTACGTCTCCTTCCGCGAGTATTTTTAACGAACAATTATTTCTCATAAAACCTATGTTATTCGGTTCAGTTTTTTATATTGATTTTGGATACGGCATAACATTTTTTATGCTTAAGACGATTGAATATTAGCACATTGAACGAATTTTGTTAGATAAAAGTACTTGAGATTGTCCCTGCTGTTTTCATAGAAATGAGAAATAACTCAATTCATGTTAAATAAATTTGTTTTCAATATTTAAAGCAAATATCATCATTCGCATGAATTTTTTTGTCTATGAATTAATCATACTGTATTTTGATTTTGAAGACAAGATAAAAAAAAACAATTGCATATAAATAAAACTATTCTTTTTTATAATCGCAAAAGAGAAGAAAAAATAAAACATTCCCTATACATATTCGATATAAGATTTGTGTCACGTTCAAATTTACATGATTCGACGCAGTTCGACGTGCTATATCTGATGGTGTCTATAATATCGTGATCAATGAAGCTAATGAGACCATCAGATTTGTAAAACTAATGAAATAATGCTTGCATGAGATACTTTATCTAATGATTCGTTCTACGAACTTTGCCACATGCGAAATGTATTTTTTTTTTTTTTTATTTGCAATAACATATGACCGATCAGGTCCTATCAGTACATCGTTTAAAGAAAAAGAATACAAAGTTAGCGCAGATAATTACTACATATAACAGACAATGAGTTTTGAAACAAACGACATGATTACTTAGATTTTAACACACACAAAAAATGTATATTCACATTATTTAATACTTCCTTTTAATTTTCTCATACACTACCCATACGGTACATCTTTCTCTCCATACGAATTATTAGCAGAATACAGTCAGAAGACACTCACTTACTCAAAGGTCTCAGGAAAGGAAGCAAGTAAAGAAATCTCGTTCATATCATAGTTGGGGATTGACTCATTGGAGGCATTGTCACTACACCACGAAACACATTTTTCCAAGACTGAAACATAACCTACAAACCGTTTAGACATT